ACGTAGCAGGTCCTTCCGGTGTTGCCGGCAAAGTATTCTTCGTGATGGCATACAGAACGCGAAGAAGTTCATTGATGTTGGGAATTGGCTACGTGGTTTGGGCGCATCAGTTCAACAATGGAAAGAAGACGGATCCGATTTGGTCGTTCCCAAACCAAATGTGACCGTAGAGCTTGAAATTGACCTCGCTAGTGAAAGACCCCGTCTGACGTGATGGAGAAGGTCGGCCACGAAGAGAAACGAGGCTTGCCCCTGGATAACTACCGAAAGGGTAATGAGTGAAGTTCGGGGGCGTAAACCCGGGAAGGTTTGAATTAGTTTCCACCGCGGGCCGGCAGGTGGATTGAACGCGGAGTACTTGTGGGGGTGGGAAGGGAAGAAATGCCACAAGCCGTTATCTGATTGGCTTCATGGGCGTTCAGTTAAAAACAGTGTGCACTTTTGTCTGTGCTGATCTTCTTCCAATGCCGTTGGGGTGGAAAAATGTCGAAAATCTGTTAGTCCATGGAAGCATTTGTATTGCCAGCGAAACATGCAGCTCGCGTTAAGGCGCCAGCGGCTACACGTGTTTTTATTTTACCATCGAACAATTTCCTCCATGTACTCTTCAAGTAGTAGCTTATGAAGCAACGAGCAAACCAACTAAGTATGGTCAAGCTAAAAAAGCTTCCCTAGGACCCCATCTTCCGATAGTTGCAAAGGCAGGTGCGCACAAAAGGAGAAACTTCACGTTGAAGAAACTTAGACAACTGTTTCCACGTAGCATCGAACATACGGCTGCAATACCACAACGCTGTTTCATACCCAGACCAGTGCTCTTGTTCGAGACCGTCAGGCTCAGGGGCAAAACTTTAATCCACAAACACTGGTGATGTACAATTCAAATGAAAAAGCCAATATTATACGTTCAAGCTATTAACCAGTGAAATATTACTCACAGAGAAACTCGTGGGAGGGGGGAGTGGGCCTCGAAAATGAAGAAGAACGAGGAAGACTTCGATTTTGAGGGAGTAAAATGTGGAAACTAGTGACACTGCGCTATAATCGCTAAAATGACCACTACCGCCTGATGAAAAGGTCGCGCTCAATAGAGCGACCAGGTCCAGTTCTGTCGATAAGAACTAACAGGGCCTAATTAAATGATATTAACCCTATGATTATCTTCCTGGCTATCATGATTCGCTGCTACTGGTAATCACATGCGGGCCCACCGTCTAGGGCTAATCCTTTGCTTCTGTTCAACGCGGATAAGAATAAGAATGCTTCTGTTAAACGTGAATAAGAATTTTAGATTTATCGAATATGTGAATGAAGATGGAGATTAGTCCTGTCGTTAGCTGAGATCGAGATTGTCTGACCGACAGCGCTCTAGTAGATGGAAGATGTTGGGCCCGGAGGCGACAGGGAGGAGGGGCACGAGTAATGAGCGTGCGGCTTGGTGGTCGTCCGGAGGTGTTGCCAGCTGTGCTCTCGGTGACGGTGAATCTTAAATATGTGTCATGAGATACGTCATCAATACCGTAACGTAACATTCCCAGACTCGAGTGCTTTGCAATGTTGCGAGAAAAAGGCTAGCAACTCTACTTGACCGAAACACCCATACTGTTGATTCTGTCATACGCTTCCCCGACTCTCGCTTTTCTTAGAGCTACTCCTATAACTTGTCGCGCATTACCATGACCCCACGACCTCTTTGTTGAAAGATATTTCTTTGTGTCCGACCACCCAGATGTGGGGTGGTCGGAGCTGAGGCGCGACCCGCCTTAGCACCAGTCTGCTTACAATTAGAGAGGAGCTTACGAGTGGCGGTTCCCCTCGAATTCCCATTGTCGTCTCACAGTTATTCTGTTCAATAAAAATTTTACTAAACCACTGTATTAAATAGGGAGATACACTCCCTGCGACTGGTATAAAAAAGTTCCGTCGCATAACTTTTACAAATTATTCCAACCATAATCCGAAGGCCGATCTGTTCAAGGCGATGAGCTCCACAACCAGAGCGCAACGATTACGGCTTGATCTCGATTCTGCGTAAAGTCGAGTGTTTTCCTACATGTGCTAGGCTCAAGAGCTCGAGCGTATCTTACGAGGTTTATGATTGACCACTTGGGCTTTGCACGCCATCTCGTGTTTCACATCACAAAGCGTATTGATTAAAACGAACAATTAAACGGCACAGCAAATTTCCAACTTTATACCCTATTCCTCACCCTTGCTATCATTTCGTAATCCTCATCGCAAACTCGTGACTTTGCGAAGAGATGCAAAAACGGACATACAAACAGACACTAAAGCTAGCTCAGATTTATGTTGAAGTCCCTTTGCGGCATGGTTTTAAGTTATGACTCGACGAATGGATTCCCGGTGACCGCTCTTGAAGATTTGTGGGAGGTGAGGGGGGGGGGGGGGGGNGGGGGGGGAGGTTACATGGTCCCTTTTCTTTCGTGGCGCCGCTCATGATCCGTCGACTAGTTCTTTCTAGCGGTAAAGTAACTCGGCCAATGCACCATAAAATGACTGTCGGTGTGCAGTAAAATGACTCTCGAGCGTGCCACGACTATTCTTTTGACGCAGAGACAAAACACCACACACTTCGTATAGTTTTACCCAACCTCAAACTTGTGTAATTAAACCTCTTTTTAAACATCAACAAATATCACCACAAAAAGAGCGACGATCGGGGTGTCCACAATACATTACAACAACATGAATCGACGGTCTTGATTAAACACATAAAAACAATGAACAGAACCCAAAACATCAAACCCCTTTTCGTGTTGACGTCCAGCGAGATTCCTGGGCTCACTCCCTTTTTTAGGCCATTCGTACTTGTTCCCGCGCTCAAGACTCTGTCTTCCGCGCAGGACCTCCACTTGTGCCCTTTAATTTTCTCCCCATCGTTTGATTCGATAATCGTGTTTTCCCTTTATGATCTCTTTTCGAGGAAACTAATTTTTCAGTCTGATCGCGTATCCGCGATAGAGTCTCGATCTGATTGGTCTGCTCGCTTGAATTCTTGCGACCGTACCGCATCCCAGGATTCCCAATGATCGCTGTAGTCAACCCCGCGCTCCTAACATGAAGGGTTTCCAAGATATCGTAATGCTGGGTCAATAACGTCTCTTGGGAATTCAAAGATATTGATTTCGACATGTTATTCCGTGAAATTGTATGGTGTTTTTGTTCTGTTTACGAAGGAAAGTTTGTATAGCATCATTGTTGATGTTCACAAGACCATGAACATTTGTAAAGCAGGTAATATATGCATTGATACGCCTGAATTTCCTAGAATTGACTTTGTATTGCTACTGACTTGCACGCGGTCTTATGAGATCAAAAGTCTTCTCCGCACCATGAATTCCTAATGATCTGCGACCGCAAATTAGTTACACTGTGATGTCCTTCCCTCTCTGATAAAATTGATGCATAAGCCCGAACCAAGCTTCGTTCACCTGGGATATAACACGATTTGGTCGCGCACAGACGGTTGCACACAACCGTCAGTCTTGAGGTGTTCAACAGTGCTCCAATACATGTCATAGGTATCTTCGCCTGGTACTGGTTCGGGCATCGAGAGAAACACAATGGTGGTGTTTGGCAACTCGGTTGTGTGACGCACAAGGTTGCTTCGACATAGTGTTGATTGATCACATTAAAATGACTGTCGGCAGTAAAATGGCTCTCGAGCCGAGCGGTATTCTTTTGACTCAGTGACAGAACACCATACACTTCGGATAGTTTTATGCAACCTCAAACGTGGGTAATAAACCCTCTTTTTGAATATCGACAAAAAAGAACGGCGATTAAGATGCCCATCTAACACAATACAGCAATACGAATCGACGGTCATGGTTAAACACATAAAAACAACGAACAAAACCTATAACATCAAAACACCCCTCCCCTAGCGGTGATGTCCACTGAGGTGCTGGGGCTTGCTCCCTTTTTTAGGCCATTCCTACTTCTTCCTACGCTCAAGATTCTGTCTTTCGCGCAGGACCCCCACTTGCGTCCTTTAAATATTTTCATAGGTTTTTCCGCTATGATCGGTTTTCAAGAAAGCTCATTCTGTATATTCGATAGCGTATCCCAAATACTTCCGACCCGCCCGATAGACTTGAGACCGCGGTATGCCCGTGCAAATACTACAGGCTACAGGAGGTGATGACAACAAAGTATCACATTAGTTTTTGACAAAAAACAGCCTTCGGCGCATGATACCCTTGAAATAGTATGGGATCAAAATAAACCCGGCGCAAACGTCAGACGGAGGGTGAACAGATGAAAAAATTCCCTAAAAAAGGTCATTCCTCTCAGTACCTTTGTGATAAAACAAGACCGTCGTACTTCCAACGCACCGCTCTGAAGGGAAACAGAAAAATATGATATCCACAATTTCACTAAGAGTTTTGGTGCATGAGGCCCTACATATGGCGTAGAACAGTTTTCCGTGCATGGGTGCATGGTGCAGTGACCTCAAGCTTATTGAGAACTGCCACTTTCCTCTCGTGCTCGTTGCAATCTTATTGTGACGCCTTTGCTGTATTCTGGAAGATAGCATATACCGGAGTGGTGCAGGAAGACCGACAATGGTAGCATTTGGTAAAATATTTCTTGCACTTGAAACGGTCAGAGGGGCTTCCCTTTTCAGGATCGCTCACACCTTCCTTTGATCCTCAAAATCTGCCGGCGTTCCCACTTTGTATTTCTGATCGAACACGAGTCGTGTAGTCCAGTGGTCGCACGGCATGTGTTTGTTTTCTTCCTTAACTATTATTCCTGTGAATGAATGAATGAATGGATGAATGAGTGAATGAATGAATGAATGAATGAATGAATGAATGAATGAAGAAAAGAAGAAATAAATGAATGAACGACTGAATGAAGAAGTTAATGAACGAATGAAGAAATGAAGAAATGAATGGATGAATGAATGAATGAATGAATGAAAATATATCATTATATTACTATATATTATTAATATATTATATTGAATATTTATTTTTTTCTCGAAAATGCGTAGCGAACACGTGGGTTTTCTTTCCGATTGTTCGATCAGTTCGTCCAGTTCTCACAGTGCTCCTAGGCGATTTACTGTTGAGTTGGTGTTTTCTGGCACCGGTGTTGAATATTGGGTGCGTCGTATTTTTGTTGGGAAATATGGAAAAAAATATCGGAGGTGCGGATTTCCCATGTGACAACAATCCAACTAGTCGGTACGACCTAGCCTTGTTAAGACGTACGACCAAATAATTCTCGTGGTATACACCGATTTGAACAATCACAATAAGCTTTCGAACGCAATTTTTATGCGTTGCAACCCACAACCTAAAACAGATTATGGCGAACGAAGCAAAATAACAGTGAACTCGTGAATTAGAATTAGGATGTAAAAAGACACCGAAAGAAAATGGTAACGATATATGAGGTAAAAGTGCATAGATGACATGACGAGGCTCAAATGAGAACGTCACAAAGGAATAAATAGTGACTGAAATGGCAAGGAAGCAAATGATCAGCGACAACCAGCAAAAGAAATGCTTGGGTTCGAGCTGTGTTGATGAAGGGGTATTGGGGCGATCTGCAGAGAGACAAATAAAAGTGAAGGAAAGACGAAATAACAAATATGAGCTAAGTGCGAATGATGTGAGGCGATGAGGGGATCTCGGGGTGACTCGCGTGGGCGAATCTTCTTGCAAATCCTTGTTGGCTTCCTACGGGAACGGTGCTTTTACTGGAACAACAGCGAGCTCCCAGACGGAGGGTAAGAAACGGCGAACCAAAATATTGGAGCGTTGGTTCCACTCGACACTCTCTTCGCGCGCGAACTCTGCAATAGATCATTGATTCGTAGATCAAAACATTGGATCACTAACTCCCCTCCTACCACTTGGACAATAAATTTTGTTGCTCATGTTGTTTTATCATTTCATGGTGTGGGAGTAATGCAGTATTCCAGAAAAGAACCACTTTTAATAAGATTATTTGTTCAAACTATATAATTTTGCAGGATGTTGCTTATGCGCTGAATTGTCCAGACGGTAGAAAGGTGTTTCTGGAGAAGACGAAGGAAAACGCTGTGTTGTCGCTGACTGACGCTCAAGGTCACTCGATCAAAACACTAGCTTGTGAATTCTGAAGAGCCCGCAACACAAGCTCTTCTTGTAATCTGCCTTGGTCTTCTGTGATCGAATGTAAAAATTACGAATTGGCAAACGGGATCAGTCTCTTGTGCTGAATTTTCATTGAGGGCTGGTTCTTGATCATACGAATAAATAAAGATACTTTTTTTGTATGAATAGTGATCGAAAGAAAGATTGACTGCCCCAGATTTCTAGCGAATTCTTGTATAAAGAGAGTGTAAGCATCCATTCTAACTACGCAGGAGAATATTATTACAAACCTATTACCCTGTTTATCTTAAGCTGTCTCCTGCAGAATCCTGCGTAATTTCGATGGAAGTTTCCCCTCTATTCACCCTTAAGCACTTAGTGGTGTTCCTTCTTGGTGTCCATTACAATGGGTTGTATACGGAAAACCTATTAAATACCCCTAATTTCGCGTGTGAGAACTGCTTTTTCCACTGCAAAAACCGTAAACATCCTACTATATACAACGCGTTAATGTCTGTGTGTGTGTCCGACCGGACATTCGTAACTCCTAGTCCCCTGGACCCAAAGCTTTAAACGTGGTAGAAGTGCAGGCGACTAGATGAGAACACTCATGGTGTGCGGCTGAATCAGACTCCTCCCGCAGGGGTGGGGTTTTAGTGAAATAAGTTTTTGAGCGAGAATTTATATTATATGTTTCTGTGGACCAGGAGAGTTCAAAATTGGTAGGAGTACAGGACGCAGGATGGGAACATCAAGGATAAAGGGCAGGACTAGACTCGGTCCACAGGGGGCAAATTCATAATTGATAACGGCATTTGATAAAAGTCTTATTGTCTTTTGACAACATTTGTGAGTACCACTAATATCGACCTTGACTGCCTACCAGTCAAACTTCAGTGGGTCATTACTTTTGGAATGAACAGCAACAGACAGATACTTCTAACCATAGGCATAACCATCGGCACATTTTGAAATGAATTGTATACTCTGTTAGTCCTCTGTCCGATTAAGCGTTCCGAAAAGTATCATTTTCCCAAATAAAGAGCGGCCGGTTCGCCGATTATTACAACTCTGTCATAAGAAGGAGGGAAGCCAGCCGGTGAGATATATAAGAGAAAGACTACATGGTATATGAGTTGAGGATGTCAATCCTCGAATGTTTGTTTTGCTGTTGTTGTTGTTTGTTTGTTTTGCTCTTGTTTGTTTTGTTTTGGTTGCCTTGAAAGTGCGCGAGACATGGCCATCAAGCTTTAGTCAGCTTATTAATGGCCCGTATGCATAACGCCCAGGGTAGGGAAGGGGAAGGAAATGTTTGCGAAGGGCGCAAGCGTTCAAATGGTAGGTTTTGGGTCAAGATAGTGACAATGGAGCAATGTTTTTTCCTATAAACAGATGAAGAATCGACAGCCCTCGATAATCATGTGATGTTTTGCCTCTGCGCGACCTTACCTTAGCGAGAGCTCAGAGAAGCCCGACCCCGTTGGCTCCCCACCCTGGGAGGGGGATGAATCTACCCCTAAAATAGAGCTGGGGCGCCGATGGTCATGTAGACCGCAACTCTGCTATTCACTACATTATTCGACTGAGCGCTTATTCCTCTGACTTCTGCTGCCGAATTCGTCAAGTATTGCTCTGAATTTATTC